AAGATGCTTACTGGGCCAACCCATGGTTTGGATCCAGGCCTTTTCCTTTATGATAATCCTTTCCTTTCCTAGCAATCTTCGTCTTCATAATTTAGCAGCGGATAATATAAAAAGGAAAAAAACAAGTCTCCCGCTTGATGAATGAGACCTTGGAGTTACCCAATTTATTATGTTTACAAATGATTTAAATTTTAAAGGCAAAAAGGGAATTTCCAGCTGACAGAGGTGCCTAGTAAAAAAGAATTAAAAAAAAAATTAAAAGAAAGAAATTGCCTGACGTCATGCACATGCATTTGCGCAAGATATTACAGCTTTTTGCTCTCCTATTTAACATGTAACTCTTGACTGCAAGAGGAAGAACCTTTAATTACAAAAATTGGTAGCAGATAAGGTGACAAATCAGTTAGTCAGTCAGAAGGAATGAAGCTCACCATAAAGTTAAGCAATAAATCTAAAAAGGTGAGAAAGAGTAGAGAAGGGAAAAACAAAATAAAAAAGGCACTTATCACACGCATTTTTTTTTTTTATGGTGTGAACTTCTAAATGAACTACATGATGTTAGCTTGAATGTTCGAAACCTGTAGAAGTTGGCGGAAGGCTTGATTTCGGGGGAAGATTTACAGGCTGCTTCGTGGACTTGTGTCTATCATCCCCCTGTTGCAGAGGTAGCTTCTCTGAACGGAAATGAGTTTCATCCAACTCCATTTCAGGCTTCCTCTTTACCTTTTTCTTTGGCAATGAGCCATCTACCACCTTTATTTCATCCATGGCATTGCTTGAAATGCCCTTTAACTTATCCTGTTTTAGTCGGTCCAAACTGGAACCATTTGTTGAGGGACTTGGAGTCCGGACAGCACCCGCTGGTGCACTTGAAATTGACTTATTAGTTGAAGATATAGCATGACTACCAGAATCAGGAGCCAACCTCTCTCGCGAGTGCTGTATCAGAGCACTTGAGGCAGACTCCACTCGAACACTATCCTCCAGTCTAGGTGCCAACATCTTTTTCCTCTTGATTTTCTCCTGATCCTTTGAAAAAAGACATAATTGAAAATGATAAGCAAACAGCAATTGACATGAGACAAATCAAAGCAGAGAAGACACATCTTTGTCTACACACAAATGCAAGACTGCTCTAGATGGGAAGTGACAATTAATCAAATAGGAGACCCATTAACAAATATATCACCAAAAATAGAGAACGTGGGTAAGTAAAACACCCAGCATCCACCTACTATTGGTTCATCTGAAACCCTAAGAATAATAACAAACATGCACTAGGTTGCTTTACTCAAGCAGATAACAGAGGTTTTTGGTTGCCAAGCCTGAGGAAGCTTCAAATCTCATAAGTATACCAAAATTGTCAAAGATGGGTTACATTCAGTCTGCAGAAGACACACAATTAATAGACAGAAGCCCTTGAAAACGTAGACCTCAATGTTCAGAAGAATAAATGAAGGTATATACACCAACACAAGGGCGAACAGCATAGAAGGGATTTTACATACCTTATGTCTGTTGTACATTGCTCTCCGCCTTTCCTTTGCCCTACAAATTGCACGTTTAATCCCATGGTTGTCCATCAGACCATTTGGCCACAGCTGTGCAAGCTGACCAGGGAGGGACTCCAAATGTAAGATAATCATGCAACAACAGAAAAAGTTGAAGCATAATTGAGCATTAAGAACAATAAAGAATAGCTTCATCAATAATAAATCAACATAAAGGGTACATGACCAAAACAAAGGACAAAACCTCTGAGTAAGGTAGAAGCGGGAAATGAGCTCAAGAAGAACATCACAAGATTAAAGCAAATTATTTGAAAAAGAACAACAATGACAATGCAGGATGAATTCTATGGAATTCTTTTGAGGCACCAGAAATTTAAGGCCTGATTTAGCTATAAAAGAGAAGATGTAATCCAGACGGGAACTGTACAAGGGAAGGATATAAAAGAACAATAATGACAAGGGAAGGATATAAAAGAGAAATAGGAAAAGACAGAAGAGAGAAGGTGAGAAGAATAGAAAGAGACGGAGCAGTCTCAACTCTCATGCACCCTTCTCATCCAATTGGCAAGAGAGTGACCCTATCAAAACCATCAGGTAACAATAACTGCAGAGACATAGCTGGCCACCTTAATGGACACCTAATGCCAGCAATTTGAAGATTTTCATTATGACTACAATAACTGTGGGAGTAGAGAAAGAAATGATAAGTGCTCAACCTCTACATAAAGCTTTCTGATTTGTGGACCTGAATCTTCATCCAATCCCTACAACCATTAAACAATAAAAAGCAAGGATAAGATTCACTAAGAAGAGATTTCCCCAACAAAGATGAAATTTTGTCGAAGGAATGTCATGCAAGGACATATAATCACATCAACATAGAGGTCATAAAGATCACAAATCTTGTCCTCCAATGATGTGTCCATGCTAAATTTCCTTTTAAGAGCTCTTTCTTCAGAACCAACTTCTTGAAAATCATCAGAAGCTCCAGCTTGTTGCTCCAATGCCTGAAAAAAGTTTATGCATATTTCATCAAGAGCAGGAAATTTTCTAACTTCAGTTGATAAGATATGGTACTAACTATGAACAAGATGAAAGACCATGATCTTGAATACCAAGATGGAGAGAAGTAAAGAGAATAATAGTCAAGGAATCTACAATGAAGAAGTATTTAAACTAAACAATCCACACATAAATAAGGAGGGATACAAAAGGAAGTACAACAACATCATGGCAAGAAGGTAAGAAAGGCATATTTTAGCAAAAGTAAAGGCCTTATGTGGAAGGGTGTGGGAAAGAAAAACTTTTGCCCTTGATCATAAGCAGAACATGATAATGGCTACAATTCCTTATAGAGAGTAAAAAATAAAAATAAAAAGGGTAAGAGACTCTTCAATCAGGACAAACTAGAAGAGGAAACAGAAAATGAATTAAATTAAAATGAGAATAGCATGGGGAAGAGAGAGAGACAATTAAACAAACCTTTGGCTCAAGAGAAGAAACTCTTGTCTTTATCATCTCAACAACTTCCTTCTTTATCTGTTGAAATCTATCATCTTTTTCTTGCTTTGCTGACAAACCTGTACTAATCATGATTTTGAGGTTCCTCTGCATCCAAAATATTGCCTCAATTTTCATAGATATGTAATTTACAAAGACAATTCAAATTGGTAGAATGACTTTACCAGAAGAGATCATGGAGACCAAACAAGTGGATTTAGTCATGCATAAAAAATAAAAAAGTCAAAAGCACATATGTTTACATAGATTTGCCCTGTTTTATTCATTCTTTTACCAGTTGTAAATTTCAAAGCATAAAGATGATAAACCAAAGGTATCTCTTCAAAAAGTCAGGAAAAGGTCACGTATTTGACAGCCACCAAACAGTCTTCGAATGGTAGAATTCTAAACAAGGCTTAATAATATATATTTGGATTACAACTACAACCAAAAGTTGCTTCACGATCTCACAAATTTGATTGCATTATTCAAACCCAAAACATATGCACTAAATTACATTTCAAAGCCACCATAATCGCTCTTAGAATGGTCACAATTAGTCAAATGCATGGTGTACCAACTTTTCTTCATTGGACCAAAAGAAACTACATCACATGAGTTTAAACCAAAAGCCATGTCTGTGGTAAAGGGAGATTTAACAGAAAGTAATTCTAGACTTAAGAGTTCATTCCCATGTTGGCACGCAATCATAACATGATAAATTCCAAGCCCTTTTTCAATGTTATCCGGTAAGAGCAAAAAATTGAAATTGCAAATGAAAATTTGCAGGTGTCATACTCATTCATAGACAAGGAAAGATACCTTAAGTGTTCTTAGCTGTATTAAGTGGCCAAGGATACTCATAAGGCGATTTAGTAACTCCTTAGATACTTTCCCCTGACTTGCCTGCAGCAAAGATAAAAATCAAATCAAATCAAATTGAAAAACTTAATCTTTCCCTGAAAGCACCATGTTATTGAAACAAATAGCAAGTAGAAAATTAGTTCTTTTACAGGAATAAGCATTAATGAAAGTCCCATACCGCTAATCTAGCAACTTTAGCAAGCTTGAATTTTATTTCTCTAGGCAATCTCCTCTTAATACCCTGGGATGAATTATCAGCCTCTTGATTTTCCATTGCAGGTGGCCTTGCTGTGATATTATACAAAGGAAGGAAAAAATTTAATTTAAAAGAAAATATTCATAATTAAATTGTTCAAGACACATAAACACTTACATTCTGCAACCATCTTCTCTAGCTCCCTAATGGCCCTTTCAAGCATTGAACTTTTGGGCCTAAGAGTAGAACCATCCTTTTTCAGCATGTGTGAAGATTTCTGCATGATATATTACACATTAAAATCAAAATGAAAACCAATATGATAGCATTAACATCTAATGCAAAAATCATTGCTCACCTCTCTCTGGTGAGGAATAATTTGGAACATAGTGTTTACTAATATCTTGCACTACAGCCAATTGGTTTTAGGTTTGATGCCCATCCTAAATTTAATATCTTGCAGCACATGCACAACACACGCACTCAGAAAGAGATGGCTATGGTGCCCTTGAACTTTCCAGGATTTTTTCAGTAGTCCACATAATGTTCAAATGAAATTTGAGGGACTATGACAAGTGAACCGAGAACAGATTCAAATGTCTCTATCTGTATCTCTAATATAAAGTCCCAGCAATCTTTCCGTACAAATGGTTGTCATGTAAATCTATGTTAGAGCCTTTTTTACTGTGCTACATACAAAATCAGCCATCAAACTCGTAGTGTTTCAGATATTGCAGGTCATCATAACCAGAACCCTGTGTTCATGTCCAAATTCAAACTACTTTATTCAGCTACTAGTTATACTAACAACTTATTAACCTGC